TTGGACTGTTTGTTTCTACTTCAGTATATTACAATTGATAATATCTTCGTTTGAAGGTGACCTTGTGAATAGATTCATATTAAATTGTCTTCCTTTTGTCTTATACATACATATATAGGTATGTCAACTTTCTGTATAGTTTTATTAAAAGTATGGAATTTGGAATTGTGCCCGATGTTTGGATACAGGTTCACTTACTGATACACTAAACAACTGACAGATAATGGATAACTGACCACTTTCTTATGAAATAACCCGTGTAAACGAGCAGACGAATCCCCTAATGGTAAGCAATCGGCGCCGCTCATGACACCCGAACTACTAGAGGAGTTACAAGTGCGTTACCGGCCTTTTTTGAGGATTCTTAGGGATTCAAGGATTAGGGGGATCGGGGGCATTAGGGAGAGGGGAAGATTGGACCTCAGGTAACCTTACTCGGTTTTTTGTGAGGCCGTGGTATTACTCCGGTCGAACCAGCCCATTCGTGCCGAAGCATGGCTGTCCCACACTTAGCACTGTCAACTCTGTCGAACTGGCGATTCGTCTTTACTCATTTTGTTCAAGGGATATCCGAAAATTACGTACGAGAACAAATATAACTGTGCTTTTAACGTCTATAGGAAAAAAAATTACTATACAGGTCACTATTAAATATAGTTATAAACCGAAGATCTTTATCAGAAGAACATAATACAAGTCACAAGAAAATTATTTTAATCCTACTTACTATGTACTACTTGCAATAACAACTCGTTCTGAGAGATAAAAAAAACATCTCAATCAAAATCAACAAGAGATTTCTTTGAAAATGTACTAACAAGAAAAATTAAACACGCTGTACAAAAGAAAGGTAGTATTATATTTCTTAGAATGTACACACATGTAGCTATGCAGAACCAGTATAAACTGACCATTGAATGTGCGGATAATTCATAGAAAGCGAGATCACGATAAATTGGTTATATAGAATTCGTTTTATAGCGTGTACTAAAGGTTTGTGTAATAACGTACCAAGAATTTAATTTAATCATAACATACGTAATAAGGAACTCTTCTTTTGTGCCCTGAATTGGTATCAACAATTCTATGTACTTACGCCATAATAGTAGCCATTTTACGTGTAATAATATTTTATTTTATTTATTTATTTATTATTTAATTTTTAGCCATTCGTCGTCCTACTGCAGGCCAAAGATCTCCCTACCATCCTTCCACTCGTCTGCTCTTATAGTTTTCTGTGGTCAATCCTTTTTATAGGCGTTAAGTATCCCGCCATTTCTTCTGGGCCCACCGCGACAGTGACATTGTATTAATATTATACTTGAAAATGTTTGTTAGTTTGTATGGACATATTATGTATGTCTGGAGGCTTGTAACTCTGTCCCATAAGAAATACTGGGTGGATCTGAATGAATTCTGGTTCAACATATAAACTGTTTATTTAGTATTGAGAACGCGTGCGAAGCCACTGACAGAACAAGTTATGCATAATTCCAATATATTTTCAAAAGCATTTCGGTCGCAAATGTCTCATAATATCTATTTAGCACATCTTAGTTTGGTGCAAGTTGAAATTGCTCTTTGTTTCCTAATCCTAGTAGATGTCTTCATTCAAAAACTATAAAGAATATGTCTGTCACACGTAAAAGAACATCATATGACAATAACGAACAAAATTCATGTAAAGAACGGAGCATAGGGACCAAAATAGAGATGTGTGGGTTATCACAAGTAAGATGTGAACCAAAAGGATCTGCGTCAAAACATGACGTCACATAGGACATAATGGGTACAGAAGACATGTTGCACCGATTTCTTAAGTTGGGATAAGGGCAAGGAATGAAAATGTTTTTATGATTATACAAGATTACATCTCGATTTACCAAATAGATCTAGTTCTATTTGCTCGGTGATCGATTCTTCAATCCTACTATGCATAACATTATTATCAACAGCCTTAAAGTGCCCACTGCTAAGCAAAGCCTTTCTCACACGGAGAAGATTTGACCATTAATCGCCACACTCGCTCAATGTGGGTTGGCGATTTCAAACTTATAATTACAAATTAAAAGCCCAGGTTTCCTAACAATGATTTTCTTTTACCGTTTGTCAGTGGTGTCTGAATAATCTTAGAAAGTACATATAACTCGGAAAAAGTCACATTGGTATTTGCCGTTAGTAGGTTTCGAAACCGCACCCTCATGCATGAAAAGCATGCATAATATTATATTAACACAATATTTGTTCAAGAAAGCTTAAGCAGAGATTACGTATAAATCTCTGAATACCGCGAACTTTGAGTTTATTGCCGACTAGGTAGGAATCTACCCAAAACTGAAAATTGACGATTATGTTAAACTTAATACCCCATCAGTTATTAAATTAGCCTGAATGGTACCGCCTTGAATTTCACCTGATGGCCTGACTATCAAAGCTACTGCAGAACTGCTCCTACCTCTAAATATTATAAAAAGGTCACCCATATAAATCACTATCAAGTTGTCATCAGTATGTCATTATACAACGTGCGAGGATCAGTATACCAATACTATCAAATGACATAATCCTCTGGTGTAAAAATCAAAGTGTTTTATTTCAATTAATCCTCGTACAAGGTACTTTTGAGTCGTCGAAATGAAACTATCGTCAGTCTATTCCTCAATGAAGTGAGACTTTTTACAAACTGAACTCGAGTTGATAGTTGCAAGTCGTAGATTCATATAGAGACGAAGAAGCAAAAAACTTTATAGTTACTCTTTTCGAAATTTACTGTTTCATATTGGCTATATTGAATAGTGTAAGAAAATACAAATGATAATCTAGTTAATGTTGAGGAGAAAGGAAACGCTGCAACAATTTCCATTTTCATCAGAAGCACGGAGCTTAAGATTATGTTACTCAGCACAGAGGTGATAAACGAGCACGCGGGCCGACCAAAAGTACTCAAAAATACATAAAATACTTAATTAAGAGTTTCTTACTATAGATAAAATGTTTACTAATTCTGTCCATGACTAATATTACTGACCAGTGCCTTTATCCAAACGCCACTTTAGCGCTTTTCTACCGAGAGAGTAGAAAACTAAATGTATGGGGATGACACTGAAAAGTGTCAAAATTTACGTCAATACCACATAGTTTACTTTTGTACTCTAGAAATAGACAAGCGCTAAATGGCATTTAGCTACAGCTGCTGATATTAAGTGTTTGTAGAGACATAAAAATAACAAAAAGATGCGAAGTAATGCTAACGGTATAAAATATGATATTTTAATATTTCAGATACATCAAAATTTCGTTATGAAAAATTATTTTACTGTTACTGTTAACAATATGAAATAATGGATTTAAATTTATACATTCATCTCTATTTCATTGAATTATTGTTCGTTTCGATAAGGCAATTAGAATATTGTTTGTCAAGCCGACAGAGACCAGGCAAAATCTCTCTGATAAACCTGAACCTTTTAATCAGGTACGTCTGTGGCGACACATGTCACACGTCAAATGACAGCATGACAGTTCACGCACATAGACTATCGATGAAAAAACAAATCAACGGTGACGTCACCAAAAAGGTCCTACATCGCACATGTGAAATTTACATGCGAATTAACACAGATAGAAAATCCCAAAGAACAACTGTTGGGCAGAAAACCCACCAGAAAGATGAAGAAAGATCATCTCGCCTTGGTTAGAGGATCCTCCTTTTCTGTTTTTTTTTATGGAGTAGGAGGCAAACGAGCTGACGAATCACCTGATGGTAAGCGATCAGCGTCGCCCAATGACACCCGCAACACCAGAGGAGTCACAGGTGCGTTGCCAGCCTATTAAGAAGGGAACTTTATTCTTAGGGAATTTTATTCTCTGTACCTTAAACGTGTAATCCACATGTCGAACGTCGTGTTCATAGTGAGCCAGCCTTAAGTAGTGGGGTCACATAGTCCAGAAGTGGACTATGATTACCATTAGATGATGTTTTAACTGACTTCAAAATAGAAGGTTCTCATTTGGACCTGTATGTATGTATGTATGTTTGTGCGCGATTCTCGCGATTGGCTGAACCGATTTCGATGCGGTTTTTAGAAAAGTGTTAGTTACAGTTGGGAGAAGATTAGTATATTCCTTAATCAACTTAACAATAAGAGGGGGTTAAAATCTGCTTTTTTAAACGTGGCCTATAAATGAGTGATTATTATTATAATATCAACAGTAATTACTATTTAATTCATTTCAATTGAACCCATTTTACAAACTAAACTATATGTATATGCTTTAAATGTATCAAACAGTTCCGGTTCAAAGACATCCCCAGATGGAGTTTCAGAAGCAAAACTTACTATCTTACTGATACCTCTTATCACTAGCGAGAAATCGTTCTATTAACCCCGAGTGCAGTTCATAGGGCGCGTCCAAGTCTAAACAAAAGACCTACATTGATAGAAATAGAGGTGAAAAGGACAGAGATAATGACAATATATTCGAAGCTAATACACTGAATGTTTCGTCCTTATTCCCCAACAATATCACAAGGAAAAGTACCCGTAATATCGTAAATCTCTTGTGGATATCATGCCTTAGGTGTGGGATACAAAATCTTTGAGTACACATTGAGGGGGTATCGCAGATAGTTGCATGTATGCATTTATTTATAATGCAAGTTGTAGGTATAAAATATTTCAGATGAAAGAATGTAGTATATTATGTATAGAAGCTATGATTAAAAATTCAATTAACATGTCCATCTTGATGAGTTATAATCTAATTAAAAAATGAATTTCTTTTAATATCCAATTTCATTAAGAAATTGCTTTCAAATCACTCTCTTCCTCCACAAAAAGTGACTGAAAAGAAATACCGCCAACGCTTCATAGACACAATACATTACATTTTTAATAACAAATTTATACGTTTCGCCATAAAATCTCGTCCCCAATACGTAGACCTAGCATATAGAAAGAATTTTCCTTATATCGTCATAGTAAATATCTCTTATTTACCTCAAAAGATTTCATCCGCACACACACAACACTAGTTCACAATCACATCACTATCTGTACGGTTATATTTGTACACACAAACACACAACAGTATTACACACTTATTACATGTAATAATGCGTAATTTTAATTCAACAAAATTGTAATTCGATTCGTGCGGCCGGAGTGCGACGTAGCGTGTGCTACGAGCTACGCGCGGGCAACGACTGGCGTAGACCCCACCCCGCGCCGCCGCTACGTCCCGTAGGCGCTACGAATCGCTGGGGATTATTTTGATATTATTTTTTTGTTTCGAATTGTTTTGCTGATAAAAAATCAGATCCATTTATTTGTTTTTCAGAATGTGATTTTGTGTTTTAAAATTGTTCATAAATAGAACGTTGATCGTGAAATATGGAAGTCTGAAAGTATATTTTGATTGGTCGGCCGAGGTCTGATTATGAAATTGTAGGGATACAGTAACTGGAATTCATTATTTTGAGGCCAAATGTCAAGGTCATAGAGATGCCTCAAAGGCTAATTATTCATTCTCAGTTGAGAAGCTTGCATTATAAATTGTATAAGTTAAAGGCACACCGCGCCCGAGAGCCGTGTTAAGATTAATGAACGTTGCATAATTATTAGCATTAGGTTATTGACCCAATTTATGTTTAAAACTCCATCTCACTGGCAAATATATAATGTTTGCTCTGAACTGACGTATTTGCAGAAATTCAGAACTACCTAGTTATAGTTACTAAGCGAAAGCTTTGTGTTTGATATTTTGAGTGAACGTGCAATGTTACGAAATGTTGCATTCTATATTGTATGATATGTTTTATTTAATATAGTCATCATTCTAGTATTGTTACAACTATACACAACGTGTAGCGGGTTCGATTCCTGCTCGGAGCAACTCTTTGTGTCTGAAATATTGTGTATGTAATGTTGTATATTTTTAATTGCACCCACGACATAGGAGAAACTCATAGTATGGGACAATGCTTATTAAAAAAAATATGTTGTTTTCTCCCTCAAAATCACGTAAGCTATTGTGTGGCACAAATAAAATATAAATATAAACTCAAAAACAGTTTAGTATATCACCAACGACAATACAACACCCAAAATGTCTCGACACTATCTCAAACACCGCATAACACTATCAGTAAATATCAAATAACATGCAAGAAAAGCCGACTTCAACTAGCCTACCATACTAACACTACCACAAATGTACTAAAAAGAAAATCAACAGAAAGTCGTTCTATGTTATTCAAATCAATATTTATTTAACACTATTATTATTGGTGACATAATGATAGTCTTTTGTCAAAAACCTATCGACAGCCGTTTGTGTCAAGTGAAAAAATGTGACAGGACTAAACATGACAATGATATATGCCAACTGAAAATGACAGCTGTCATTGTATTGACAAGCTAAGCCTACCTTCCTGGAAACGAATGACAAATGAAAATATCGTCTGATTTTTTATATGTTGAGTTTTTGTAACACTCTTTTATTACGAACTAGGTAATAAACAAAAGAAAGACTGCACGATTGGCGCGGTGGTTGGGCAACTGGCTGCCGCGCAACGTGTCGCGGGTTCGCTTCCCGCACGGAACAACTCTATGTGTGATCCACAGATTGTTGTTCTGGGTCTGAGTGTGATGTGTATGTGAACTTGTATGTTTGTAAACGCACCCACGACACAGGAGAAAATCCTAGTGTGGGGCAACGTTTTTTTAAATAAAAAAAAATGAAATCTAAGAATCTGAATCCAAGTCAACAGCTTATAATTAGTGCCCACTGGCAAGCAAAGGCCTTCTGTAAACCACACGTTACACAAGAAATAATTAGTTCGAATATAAGCTACTTGTAAAAGGTAGATAACAATTATTAGCTCAAAAAAATGTACACGTTAAAAAAATACAAAAATGAAAGACTGATTTGTTAATTTTTGACGTGACAACGTCTTAAATTAGGTTGCGGCTGGGAGTCACTTATGAAAAAGTGTAACGCTCGGTAACGTTACGATGAGTCACCGAACGAGAGAGAGGCCCGCCGAATGCCTTGCGTCTCTCTCCCACTCAACTATGATCGGTCTGCCGCGCGCGCAGCACTAGTTCATTCAATTCATTGTACCTATTGAGCAATATAATTATATTCATATCAATAAATATTCTACCGAGAAAAAGACGTTGTCACGTAAAATCTTCGCCCGTAAAAACGACTTTACAGGCAACCATTTTTTTTTATATATTTGATGGGCCGACGTCTGACTACGCCTGGTGGTAAGCGATGATGCGGTCTACCTAGAGCACGTTGTCCCATAAGCAACCTATTCACTCGGGCCTTGAAGACACCAAGGTTATATCCTTCAGAAAATACAGACTCTGGCAGAGAATTCCACGCCTAAGCAGTACACACAAGGAAGCTTGATACAAAACGCTTCGTGCGTGCGTGTGGGTAGGACATCTACTATCTGCCTCTATAGATTATAAATGCGTGTTAATAATACATGTTAAAACATCAAAGACATAAGATCTTAAATATCACTTCCTACCTAAACACACGCCACACAACCTAACCGAACAATACTTAAAAACTCCTTATCTTCAGTTTGTCGCGATTCTTCGAAGGTTTACGAGGAAAACATCACTCCATAGAATGTAAACAGTAAAGTTGAAACACTTCCACCACGACAGTCCATAAAGTATTATATTAGAAACAAACACGACCATGTACTACCATCATAAACCCGAATATGTACTTGTTTTCCGATCAAAGAAGCTCTTCACTTGAAAATAAACCTCATCTTCTGAGGAGGAGAGTGTAGTTTTCAGTGTCTGTTGTCTTTCACTGTGTTCAGGGTTTATTTGCAATTATATTTAGTTTAAGCACCAAACTATATTTAGTGTTATATTTTATGGTTTAGGAAATTATAGACAATGTTCTTGAAGTTATGTTCGAAGTGATAGTTGTTGGAATTGCTTGATGATCGTGATGATTTGTTTTCTTGTAATTGATTTCAATATTTTGGTGAGGAGGTTTACTTAAACTTTTTGAATGACAATCACTCTCAGTCTCCATTGCTAAGAAAATACCGATGATCACAAATTCTTGATATTTCTTTGAAATTCAAGAGTTATACCAATCATTCATGTCTCCTGAATAATAATTATATTATTGTGGTGTATAAAAGTTAAAGTTGTTACATACGATAAGTAGAAGATCCAATTGAGTGGCGGGCTATTTGAAAAGTGTATATCCAGGTAACAACAGATGATGATGAACTTACTGACGATGATGATGATGATGATGATAAAGAATAATCTATAAAAGACATGAACTTTAGGGAAGAAAGACAAGTATGAAATTCTTACTACGCTTAAACCACCCCAGTTCACTCTCAATTCAACATTAGTATCTAAAAGGATGCACCAGGTCCTCTGAACAGCTCAGCTCCATAGTCCCCATTGTACCTTACCGAATGACATATCAGCAGAACCACTAGAGACACCTATAGTATACTCACCTGTGATGACTTAAGAGATAATGAACATTTGGTAAAATCAAAGTCAAAATCACTTATTTCAATTAGCCAAGAAGGCACATTTGAACGTCAAAACAAAATATTTAAATATTATAGAAAATATTTCAGTCTTTCGGTCAGTCCTCTAGTGAAGTTATTTGATCGTTCCAAAGTGTACATTCCTATGGAGAAGAACGAGCAAGAAACTCCATAGGTTACTCTTTTTCAATCAGGTTCACAATACAATTCTTGGTTGCATTCTTTCGTTGGTTCATGGTTGATGGTTTGAAAGGTTAGTGTACCTACATTAATGACTCTGTTAACACGTTTTGGGTTGCACAACTTGCACCTACATATTTATAAGTTACTAGTATCAACATCAAGTTTTGCATATTTGCTTTTTATTATTGTTTTTCTTTCCTTGTATTGCTTGCTGACATATAGAGTGGAAAAAATGTGAGTGGCTGAAGGTTGTAATATACTGACTACTGTCGGCAAGTCACGATATTTTTTTTTAAATACTTAGGTAATATATGCGAAAACTTGTAATTGGCCATACTTTAATCATAGTTATATATAATTGTCAATTCTAGCTGTACGTTTTCTAAATTTAAAAATAAAATAACTAGTATGAACTGACCGTTAAATTTTCAAAAAGATTATACAAAGCGATATCATGATAAATTAGGTTTATATAGTTTGATCTAAATGATCTGAAGCCGTGTAACAGCATCACGCCTTTTATCCTCGATTGGGTATGCAGAGGTGCACATTACGGCACTTAATGCCACTGTACAATGTAACACCCACTTTTCACTATTTATGTTATGAGTCCCATGTAATAGAGGGTGAGCGTATTGCCATATACCAGGGTAATTTCCACTTCATGCTACTACTGAGATTTTTTAAAAAACAGTAATACTTTGGCCGACTCTCGAATCGAACCCAAGACCCCTTGCCCGGCGAACTTGCGACCACTCGGCCAATAAGGTAGCCGTGTGTACAGGTTGTATTAGATCAGTTAATTTACGTATAAATTGTAACACTTTTTTTTTTTTTTTTTTTTTTATCGCGATGGAAATCCTCAAGGATTTTCTCCTGTGTCGTGGGTGCGTTTTGCCCTTACGGAATCACCACACCCGGCAGGCCTCGACCTACCGCTATGTTTGCGGCAGGTCTCGCCACCTTAGCGGCCCTAGGAGGCTGCTTTCCTTCTTCGAGTAGCGCGCGTGGAACACTACGCTAACGCCTACTCCCGCCTATATAGTGGACGTCTGACTCCCCCGGTCAGTTATCCGCAGGCCTCTCCTCTCATGGAGGTCGCAGATCGGCTGCCGCTTCACGGCGCTGACGACCGGCGCATCTACGGCGAGAGGGGAGAGGACTTGACGCCTCTCTCTCCCTTTCAGCCGCTTCCTTTTCCAACATCACTTGTTCACAAAAGGAAGCGACTCCGTCCCATACGCTCTCGCTGTCGACCATAGCTCGTACAACAGTCAACAGTGACAGGTTACTCCCGCCGAGTACTGCAAAGAGTTCACGACGCGGCTCTGCCCATGCAGTACACTCTTCGAGCGTATGCCGCGCCGTATCCTCCAAACCACCATCACAGTGATGACACGCCGATGTTTGCTCCCGGCCTATGCGACACAAGTACTTTCCAAAGCAGCCATGTCCGGTAAGTACCTGCGTCAACCGGAAGCTTAGGACACCATGTCCTCTGTCGATCCACGCCTCCATAACGGGACTTACCGCCGCTAATAAATTGTAACACTAACATAGATTCTAGATTCATGTTACTTCGTTTGATTAATTATTATAGTTCTTGGAAAGCGTTGTTTCTAAGCTTGAATTTGAACAAAGAAAATTATAATACCTAATGGCTTAATACTCCTTTTGTTCTATAGTGAAGCAAAAAGAATTTTAATTAAACAATGTACTTTGATTTTGTATTTGATGTGTAATATGACGTCACGTCTTTTGTTTACAGAGGGATTAAGTAGAAGTGAACGTATTTATATTCTTAAGCAGCCATTTATAACAGTTGAGATTTTTATGTAAGTAGAGTGGCGAGTTCACAATTTCAGAAACTCGAAGACATTCTAGTCTGATGCAAAATAGAACTGTTGGAAAGTGAATATGGGATCATACTATGTGTGCATTTCTGTCTACTTCTTTGGAAAACAAAAGGCCGTGACAGTATGTTATATATACTTCCGAAAGTATAATATCATATACACAATTGCTAAGCCTATGTAGAACTAAATGTGTGCATACTTATCATAATATAAATCTAAGATAAGAATAGAAGAAAGTCGTGTTAGTTGCACTATTTATAACTCAAGAATAGCTAAATCGATTTGGATGAAAATTGGTGGCGAGATAGCTTAGAATCAGGAGACGGACATAGGATACTTTTTAACCAAGAATTTTCCGAAAATCCTACGGGAACGGGAAAATACGAGATTTCGCGTACAAAGTCGCGGGCAGAAGCTATAGTACATTAACAGATAGATAGCCCCTTGTCACAATTTGCCTATTTCCTATAAATACAGATTAATATACGTCAATATATAATAACTGTTATAATACTGAGCAATAACTGCAAGTATTGCTGTCTCGCTCTCGCGCAAAATTCACACGGTACTACCACCCTTGACGCGTGGTCTAATGTAAAGGATTCGGCGGTTTGGTGTATTATTGTGATATGTTTTAATAAACTTGCTATCTAAGATGGACGACAAATTATACACATATCGTAAAGCCATACCTTTTCATACCTGCTGGCATAATACAGTGTACCTTTCACTAGTTGTCTTTGATTCTGAAATAATAAGGATTCAGCTTATTACCACGAAACCCAGGATGGGTTTCGTGCGATGACCATTAATTAAATTATCAATAATTATAAAATTGACGAAGGCGGTTGAAAACCCAGACAAACCCCAAATATACTATGTCAAATCGAAAAACAAATTTACAATTTGGTAGTTACAAACGAGTAAACGAACAAATCTAAGCGATAAATTGTTTTGCTTTCTTTCAATCTGCGCCGCCAATAGACAATCGAAAAATAGAGATACAAATGCGTTACCAGCCTTTGGAAGAGGGAAAAATGAGCAAAGGCTCATACGTAAGGAGTTCCATATTAAATTACTTTAAATCTTTCATTCACAAAACAATTCATTTCTATAATCAAGTTTGGAAAAATAACCAAATTTCCACCCACCAAAAGACCATTTTTATATATTTTTGCAAACTTATTTGTGTTAACAACGCCTTTAGATTTTAGTAAAACCATTATCAACTTCAAAACATAACCTAACCTAATAACTTTGTAAAAATTCATTTCAAAACTTTAAACATAAAAACAAAACGAAAATAAACAAAAACGAAACACCATCCTCCTACATCTTGTACCACAATCCCCCTCGGCTGCGTAACGCAGGCGCAGTACCAACGCCCCGGATAAAAACGCCTGACTTGCGTATTCCACTTTTTTATAATAGTTAATTACTAACAAAGTTCATATTCTTTGTACGATGAACTCAGTACCTTTATCATGACGCTTGTAATGAACTTACTTGGTTTATTGTAGGGAAATTTACACAGAAATATAGTGTAGGTTGCGTATAATCCATGGATCTGTTTGCAAGATTATCCTTAAAATAAGTAGAGATTACAATACTACAATACTAACATAACTTAAGGAATAATTTAACTAATCTACAGTTACTAACAAAATTATGGATATAAGAAAAATTATCAGAAATAAAAGACACAACACAACAACATATCATCACGCCTTTTATCCCCGAAGAGGTAGGTAAGGTACATTATGGCACTGTACAATGTATTATTATTAATACTTTTTAATGGCATTAGGTATCTACGTTCAAACATTCTAGTTATCGACGATCATGCGCGATGAATATAGGACCGATATACCAGAATCATGCTATTTGACGTTGCATTATCTTTGCTTGCCCTTATTCGATATAGTCATAACTTCTCTTTTATTTTCTTTTTTTTTGTATATTTGATGGGCCGACGTTTGACCACTATCTCGCCTGAAGGTAAGCGATGATGTGGCTTACGATGCAGCACGTCGTCCCGTAAGTAACCTATTCACTCGGGACTTGATCAGCAGATATAATATGTTCATAAAAATATTAGTTATCTTTCTCAACAGGAATGCAAGTTTCAGTAATATACTTATTAACAAGTTCAAATACAATTTCTAGTTCTTCAGTTATAATCAGCTTTAGTACGATATAAGTTTTTTTTTTTTTAAGGGGGGAAAATCATCGAATGACTTCTCCCGCCTGGGTGAGGCGGGAGGGAGTCTCAGACTGACTAAAAACCACCCCGTTCCTTCTCCTGCACGTCGAGCCGGAGCCCCGGTTACCCGTTAGGTTCTCCGCGACTCCGCGACGCGATATAAGTTTAATGATTGTTTATTCACTCATAAAGAACATGTTTCACTTACAATGAGCTTAAATGGCTAATTATAGCTAGGTATACAGAGTTCTGACGAAACGGTATTAATAAATATTTTCAGATACATATTTTCTTAACCTATTTTTGAATAAAATTTTCAGTCAAAGAATTCCAACTATCAGATAAATCGTAATTAAAAACACAAAAGATTGGTCCAAAAGTCGATCAACAGAAGTCAGTGGCGAACTAAAGTGTAACGATTGAAAAACTTTCAGATTGGAATAATTCTGAAACAAACAGACTATTGAGCAACCGATTTACATGCTGCTCGCTTTGAGTGGACGGTGTTTGGAAGCTATATTACGATAATGTGTTGGACTCGGACATGAACTATCATAATGACGTAATACATTAAACTTACTTAATCAAACAAAGAAAATAATGTGTCATCAGTTGATTTCCAATAAAAGATACACCAAGTTGAACAATATGCACATAAAACAGCTTTCGAGGTATTTTCTATGCTCTTATCATCATTAACCTCTCTCGTCGTCATTACAAATGGCTAGCCCCTTCCTTCCCAAGGCGGGAGAACTCATTGGATAATTTTCCCTCGTCAAAAAAAAGCTCCTTCTTATATCTACAACCTACGGTTTTTTCAGATACAATATATACTACATACATA